TTGACACTGGAAAATAAAGGGTTGTTGGATAAAGGCCCCTCGAGGAGTTGTTGCATGTGTTCTTTAGCATTCAAAGTGTGTTGCACTCCCGCTACACGAGGTATCGGATTTAAGAGATTCCACTGAATTTTCATTTTAAATAAGCTTGAGATGTGTTTTAAATTGGGATGACTGATCTTTGAAAAAAAGTATACTAATGGACTTTAAAAACGAATCACACATGTTGGTGATTTATTTTACCAAATCACGATTGATCCTCATATAGTTACTACTCATGATTATCATACTTCTTTCTGATTAGAAAAATTCAATACATCCCTTAACTGAGGTAATTTAACATACCGGATTATTGAAGTCACACGAATTTCTTATAGCGATATTTGAAACCCATAAATGATTTTGTTAAGGTTTTTTTTCTTCATGAAACAATTCTTTCAATTCATACATACACTTAAATCAGTTAAAAAAAATGTTGCATTTTCATATTGCCGAGACTGAGCAATGCAAATCTGAATCGGGCAAGAAGAATATCGCAAGCAGGAATACGTGAACGTGCTGTTCTAGACAATTTCACGTTAGAAACTCCTCTCACAGTCCTTACATCAATTGTACAGGAAGACAAGCTTTGTTGATGACCACCCATGACCAGATCAATATGAAGTGACAACGCGACGTCAATAAAATTTTTACTCCGCAACGTCAACTGCTAGTCGTCAAATGCCATGGCAGACAGATTCACGCCATAACTGTTTCCCATATACTGAAATGCCAAGGAATCGACTGCAGAAAAACATTTTAAGACCTTAAGTTTAAACCGCAAAATTGCCAAAACACACTGTAGTGGGTGGGACAGGGGCCAAATAAGAAAGAACAAAACAGAACTCAAAATATACCCAACAGAACTAGTTGACTTTTCTGTCCATCATTTAGGCGTTGGATACAGGCAGTCATTGCCTTCGACGGTCACACATCCATTGATAAGGGGGGAACCAGGGTTTCAGTGTATATCACATGATTTGAACATTTTAAAACATGACGTAAGCAATTAAACTTTCGAACTGCAAACTTTTTTAAGACAAAGTAACAAATGAAATTTATGTTTGTAGATTTATTTACCAAGATTGCATATTTGAAAATGAAAATTAAAAAGAATAATGATTATCTAGTGTTGCGTTTTTAATGTCCGTCAGTATATGTGTTTCCGTGCTAACTTTAGACAAAAACTAAAAACTTGGCTAGATTTGCATGTGACCATATTTCTTTACCAAAGTCAACCCTTGGGGTTTATAGCATCTGGAAATCTTTGATAAAATTTTATTAACTATTACAGAAATTTTAACATTAGTTCACGCATGTAAATACAAATATATTTAAACATGATTTCAATACTACACTTTGTGCACCAACGAGGAAAATTGTATACGGTGACAGATGCTCTTCATGTATATTTCAGAGACAATTGAATAAACAGAAATGAAAACTTGAACTTATATGTAGGATTTATATAAATAAAAGAGGATATATGGTATTCTTCAATCAGAAGGCAACCGAGGGACACACAAAAATCAAAAGAAATTTACATATAGAATAAGTTATTGATTTCATGTAATTTAATAAATTATGAGGCATCTTGAGGTTCCGGGTCTTGAAACAATGAAGTATATAACACAAGCTTATGCAACGAGTATCTTAAAGTAGACCCCCCCCCCCCCCCCCCCGCGAGTATACATACAGAGGTTATTATTTTTTTTCAGTAGCTTCTCCAAGCACGGACTTTATATGCACTTAGTTTTAATGACTTACAAGTATTTTTTGAAGGGTAAATGATGATCTTCTTGGGTTAATAAACATATCATTATATGTATATTAATTATGCAAATTTTACTATAACATGTTAACCTTGTTAGAATTATAATTGGACTGAAATAGAATAATATTTAAATAAGATGAATTAATACCATTGGCATGTACTGAAGGACTGGTAAAAGAACAGTGTTCTCCCTTTAAACAAGTTTTACGGGAGTACATGTTTATAAGCGGCCGAAAGAATAAGAGGATACACTGAACATTGACTTTTATATTTGTAGGATGGGTGGATGATTAACGTCAAGTGATGGTTCTTTCAACCATGTACAGGATGAACCGTGACCAGGTTGTTGAAAACAATACGAGTCTGTAAGTAAGAAATGCTTCCGCACGCACCAAAGACCTTTATTGTGTCAAAAGTGGATCAAGGATCAGCGAATGAAGCGCGAAGCTGAGAAGATACATTTCTGTACTACCCATTATGCAGTTATACCAAATGTCAGCTACGTGTCAAATATTGCAGATAATCTATTCAAGGAAATTTTCTAAGGTCACATCAATATCAACAATTTAGTCAAAAGTAATTCAACCGTAACGAATCACAAACTTGATATACAAATTATGACCAATGTTAGAGCTGCACACAAAACATAGGATATATACATAATATTATCCCCATGTATGACATAAAAGCAATAACTGCAAGTTTATATAAATAAGTCCAGGCGTAGTTAAGCCATAATTCCTACAACTCAATTAGTTACACAGTAAAATCAGCTAAAATCTCCAGGCCTGACCTCGATATAAGAAATTTTGGTAGGAATGACAAATAAAACTATATGCTTCGGCGACAAAATACTGAGTGATAAATGTAACAAAACTTAATTATTTGTCTTATGAAATGTCATGTATTTGAATGGTTTTACAATGCCTTAAAATCACGTGCACATAAATAAAACATTATATAGAACACTTGAGTATACAGCCTCTACGAAAATAGTTCACAAAAAAATATACCACTACAAGGGTTAGCGTAAAACTGAACCATTAATGTAGTGTAAAAGCACACACGAGAAAATTGTGACATTTCAAATATTCTTTTTCGGTGGAGTCAGGTTTTAATTTGTTTTGCTTTCATGTTAAATTTTCATAACCTGCAATGAATCAGCCATCCAGGAGGAACGACGCACACACAAAAAAAACCACCACATACTTAACTAAACATGCATACTGTTCTATGCAAATTTTCGAATGTAGGACAGAAAGTCACAGGACAAAAAGTCACAGACAAAAAGTCACGGACAAAAAGTCACAGGACAAAAAGTCACAATTCAGTTTCGAGATTATATTTCTTTAAACAAGAAAACACTAATTTAAAAAAATAAAATTTATGTTTTTTCTTGAACTATTATATATGAAGCAACTTTGTAATTAAAATTTATTCAATAAATATCAATAATGATCAAATAATGGTTATGAAAACAAAATGTCAAAGTGGCTTGGTACTTAAATGGCTTCATTGTGCCAAGAAATATATCCTTTGCATGATTAAAATTTAATAAATTTTCATTTATCAAGGCTTATGAACAATTTCCTAAACTTAGAAATGAATATATGTAATAAAAAGAAAATATTTCAAGATCTTTCTTTTATATATTCAAACAAGTGTCGGCAAATTATTTGTGACTTTTTGTCCTGTGACTTTTTGTCCTATCAAATTTGTGACTTTATGTCCTGTGACTTTTTGTCCTGTGACTTTCTGTCCGTTTACCAAATTTTCAACAAAGAAATATTGTTGTGAAATTCTTTTTATTTTTATCTTAACTGAATAAGAAATTAGGATGTAAGACTTTAAATATACAAGTTTAAATGTCTCCATAAGGGTAATTATAAAAAAAAACTGAAATACTTTCTTCCGTTCGTTTTTATCACAGACCATCCAACACCTACCAGCAAAAGGCCGCTATACATAGAAAAACACAACTTTTGACCAATTCTAAAGAAGAAATAATCATCAAATTACAAGCGCTATTAAGAATGTACTAGTAAATGTTTTTATTTAATTCATTTTTAACGAAATTACTCCAGGTTATTTCAAATTTAGAACTGATTAATTTAAAAGATTAACACCTGTTCCCAGTTATGCATTACAAATTTGATATCGGTAATTTTCTCAACATCTGATCTGTCAATTATAATTGATTAGTCAAAATATTTTGAAAACCGAGATGCAATTACGAAAGACATTCCAGAAATAACATGCCAACTTCCTTTTTTTTAAATGAACGACTCTACACTAGATCAAATAAAAACATTTAAAATTACACATTAAAAGTACAGTTTCTGATCAATCCTGTCCAATTTACAATAATTATGATCAATAAATTAAAGAATGATTCATTACCTGTTAAAACAATACCTTATTAATCCATCAACACATTAAAATGAAGTGTTAACCAACCTGATGTACCAACAGCTGCTGTCATATGTTACAAATGTCCCATCGATTTTAATAATCACAAATCCATGTTTATATACAGCCTTAAGATATATCATGGTCAGTAAGATTACATTAAAATACTACCAATACTTTTGAAAAAATTATCAGTTTGAACCAGTAGGACGTACGGCAACAATCTCGACAGGGCATTCGTCCAATTTGTCCAAATGTAGCATACTTATGGACATTTCTATAGTTATGGCAATATCAACTGTGAAAACGCATTTAATTTACTAGTTTCGCATCATTTACAAGAACAATTGCGTTTCCACTTTTCAAATGTTTTTTCCATCTTGAAGGTAATATTATTTTTCTTATTATTATATTATTATCATTACTGTTCAAATGTAAGTCAAGAAACAAGAGATCTAGCAATTAGTAACATTAAAGACGCGGTTATGTTTCCTCCGGGATGGCTATTTTTTTTAACCCATGACAAAATTCATATTACTTGTTTTGTTGCTGTGTATAATCAATTCGTTTTTCATCTAAGTACGCATATAGTATTGGTCAAAAGAAATTAAAGAAATGATGACTTATTCTTCATACATTCGAAGACAAATTAAATTTATTTAAAAATCTGGCAACAGAAAATGAAATAAAATACATATTGAATGAAAACAAATAATAATTAGTTAAAAATAAAATAATTGTGCTCTAAATGAAAAAAAGCATAAAATGCAATAAAACTTACCGATTGTATAACAGGATATTAATTTTTAAATGTACATTCCAATTCTTAATTACTGAGTCTTCTTTTTACTTGTTCGACATGATCTAAAAATAAAGAATGTTTCTTAAACATTTTATCTTAACTGCTAATGTATCGATGATTTTTGTTTAACTAGCAATAATAAACTGTTATCATAGCAAACTGCAAACAACTGCCTTTGGTGAGCGTTATTGATAAAAATACTCCCCATGGAGGTCTGCGTTCATTATCTGACTGGGATATCTAGTACCCTCTACACTTAATTATAACAACGTTCATAAGAAAAATTAATTATGTATATAATCAACACAATGAAAATAGTGTCAACGTGGTATATTGTGTAAATTTCCGACACTGCAGTTCAATAATTCACTGAATTTATCATGTTAATATACTTGTTCGTTTTCTACATTTCACTATACATTCTTATTTAGGTGAAATTAATACATTCTAAATCATGTTTAACGGATGAGTCGTCTCCCATTGTGAATATCTTTCGTTTAGTATGAATTTATTAATTGTTTTAATCAATTTTCTAGCCGCTGTATTGAATTTCATGCTGTTTATCCTAACAAGACTTATTTGTGATACAAAATATATACTGTATTTGTCTATTTAGTTATTTGATGCTCCCAATGATTTACGTGCATTATCCCCATCTAAATTTTAGACACTGAACCCCGGATCAAAAATTATTCAAGAAAAAACGCACTCGTTTGTGGGACATATTTAATAGCCCTACTTACATATTTATTTTGCTATTAAATTATGTATCGGAAGAAAAAATATGGCTTATGAGCAACGTTTACTTCAACATTAACTGTTTATATTCCGCATTTTAATCCGGAATTAAACCGTTGCGATTAGGTTTTATGTACATGGGCAATGTTCGTTCGTCCTTTATATAGGCTTGAGGTTAGGTTGATAACTTAACTTTACGAAACAAGAGAACAATTTTCTTATTGCTAACTTCCCATTTCTTTGTGATAACATTCCAGCAGCGCCTACATATGGTATATCTCCCAGTTAACGAAACAGATAGTATGTTTTAAACCACCATTTCTTTAAAAGAGGTTTAAGGCAAACAAAGAAGATGTTGCATTCAGGATTCCAAATGGTAAAGTTGAAGTCATTAAAGAATAGCAATGTCACAGGTGACGACAGATATGTTCCGCTTGTCATAACAACAATACCGATATTTTTCCTCGATCGTGACAATACCGAATGCGAATTACTTGCAACGAGTTACATGACGTATGCCTCATGCACTAGTGGCAAAATGGGTTAAATTATTGATAATTTGATTAATTATATGACATAGACTCATTAATATCCGAACTCCAGTATGTTTTAATAACTTTCTGCTTTTATCTTGTAAAAATTGACCCTAATTCTTTGAGAAAGAACGGGAAATAGATTTTGAAAAAATCATTTGACATGCATTAAAGCATTACATGTAACACATTTATCTATAAATATCCCTCGTATACTTATAGAAGAAACAGGTTTTTTCTTGTGAAAAAAACTATAGGAAATGGATTTGTTTCATTCCGTAAGAGTCTTTCGGTGTTCAGGAACTATAGAATAGCAGTTTACCTGCTGTTTAATTTTTCCGGTCACGCAAATTGTCAATAACACTTCCTATTTATTTCGTAAAATAATTTAACAGTTATGTAGAATTCAGATGATTCACATTTCGTTTAACATCCAACATGCAAACAAAAATTTTGAATTAACCAGACATATTTCTTACATTTTGTGTTGCCTAGGTTCAATTATTCTTTGCAGTAATTTCACGTCTCGGTTTTAGACAGAATATGCGGGAAAGTTTATAAATATTTATATGGCAAAATGATGAATCTGAGCTGTAATTGATTACCCATGTAAATACACCGGACATCCAATTATAGTCTGACAAACTCTGATGTGGGGATACCGAGTTGATTTATGAGCCAAATGAGCCCTGAATTAAAACTTACCAGACTCAACAGGAGTCCTTAGAAACATAAATGAATGATACCGATATCAGTGTCCATGTTACTTGTTAATGCAATACACTAGAGACTAAAATATTAAGAAGCCGAATACACAAAACGTTAGATAGCATCAACATCAAAAGAAAACATTAACTTAACATCAGAAATCGTCATTCAGCTGTTCCCGCTTGAGTAGAAAATAGAACAATTACATAATTTTGAAACTGACAAGTTTACACAGAAAATATATAAAATTGATAGTAATGTTTTTTGTCATTGAGAGCAGAATTTACTGTTAGAGTATAGAACATGATACTAGTCTCTGGTGGGTTTATTTAGGAAGTGTCTACACCCGTGCCGGTTTTGAGCTTACCAAATTAATTAAACACTTGTTTATTGTTGAAGACAACACTTTAATATATCATGACTTATTTATTTTGTCTCTGACGAATGCACCACGCCTTGTTGTATTCATACAAGCCATTAAATTTCAGAGAAAATATATTTATGCCCCGGTAATTTCTCCTTCGATTGTTGCCTGTTACATGTTTTGTTTACGGATTTCACCACCTGCCATATTGCCGCAATGCGATGAACTAATAACATCCATTGACCATGGATAAATGACTAAAGGTAATAAAAGCTATCAAAGGAATTTAAAACAAAAACAAAAACAAAAACAAAACAAACCAAAACAAACCAAAACAAAACAGAATTATAAAAACAAAACAAAACAAAACAGAAAAAACAGAAACAGAATTTTTTGAAAAAAATAAATGATCAAATCATAACACAATGTGAATGATCATAGATTCTATTTCGCACGTGCACTATCATCCATTAGTTTGAAACATTTATTTTGTTTTGTCGCTGCAAGATACGTGACATGTCAACATGCATACTTATCTTACCACGAACGAATGGTAATTTGAAAAAAAAGCTGCCTGCTTATGCTTTCTGTATTGCTTGTACTTTTAGGACAAGAGGAATACTTATATATTTTAATAAGACTAGAGGAAAACCTATATACTTTAATAAGACTAGAGTAAAATATATATGCTGTAACAAGACTAGAGGAATACCTATATGATGTAACAAGACTAGAGGAATACCTATATGCTTTAACAAGACTAGAGGAAAACCTATATGCTTTAACAAGACTAGAAGAACACCTATATGCTGTAACAAAACTAGAGGAATACCTATATGCTTTAATAAGACTAGAGGAAAATCTTTATGCTGTAACAAGACTTGAGGAATACCTATATGTTGTAACAAGACTAGAGGAATACCTATATGCTGTAACAAGACTAGAGGAAAACCTATATGCTGTCACAAGACTAGAGGAATACCTATAAGCTGTAACAAGACAAGAGGAAAACCTATATGATGTAACAAGACTAGAGGATTACCTATATGCTGTAACAAGACTAGAGGAAAACCTATATGCTGTAACAAGACTAGAGGAAAACTTATATGCTTAACAAGACTAGAGGAATACATATCTGATGTAACAAGACTAGAGGAGTACCTATATGATGTAACAAGACTAGAGGAATACCTATATGCTGTAACAATGCTATAGAGGAAAACCTATATGCTGTAACAAGACTAGAGGAAAACCTATATGCTTTAACAAGACTAGAAGAACACCTATATGCTGTAACAAGACTAGATGAATACCTATATGATGTAACAAGACTAGAGGTATACCTATATGCTGTACCAAGACTAGAGGAAAACCTATATGCTGTTACAAGACTAGAGGAAAACCTATATGCTTTAATAAGACTAGAGGAAAATCTATATGCTGTAACAAGACTAGAGGAATACCTATATGAAGTAACAAGACTAAAGGAATACCTATATGCTGTAACAAGACTAGAGGAAAACATGTATGCTGTAACAACACTAGAGGAATACCTTTATGCTGTAACAAGACAAGAGGAAAACCTATATGCTGTAACAATACTATAGAGGAAAACCTATATGTTGTAACAAGACAAGAGGAAAACCTATATGCTTTAACAAGACTAGATGAACACCTATATGCTGTAACAAGACTAGAGGAATACCTATATGATGTAACAAGACTAGAGGAAAATCTATATGCTGTAACAAGACTAGAGGAAAACCTATATGCTTTAATAAGACTAGAGGAAAATGTGATTGTGCTATGGTCAATTTTGAGTTCTTGTCTTTCATTTTTGCTTATGTACTTTGTCTATACTCCAATTTGTGTTTCTTTGTTGAAACAGTTATTTGTTTTTATAGTGATTAAGATTATATTACAATGTTGACTTCTGTACCCCGATTTTTGACGTTTTTACCTATTATGTCTGTTTGTTTTGCTCACACATTGTTGTCAATATAATGAATTTCTATGCAACTGTCATACAAGTGAGAGGTTTAGCTAGCTATAAAACCAGGTTTAATCCACTATTTTCTACATAAGGAAAGGCCTATACCAAGTCAGGAATATGACAGTTATTTTCCATTCGTTAGATGTGTTTGAGCTTTTGATTTTGCCATTTTAGAAAGGACTTTCCGTTTTAAATTTTCCTTGGAGTTCGGTATTTTTGTTATTTTACCTTTTTTCTTTGACGAGGACGACATCTTTTTGTGATAATTTATTGTGAAAAGTGTCGTACCCAGATGTGACTGCTCGAACTCAATGGTATGGACCAGAAGTTCTTTGATTTGATATTGACCTTCAAATATATATACTTTAACAGTATACGTCAACACTTATGAAGTAAGAAATGTAAAGTTATCATGGCCTTGAAATTTCCGAAAGAATGTATTCAAAGGCACGCAATACAGCTAATATTTTTTTTACACAATAAGCATGATACATGTTTTAAATGCATGTCTTATTTAATGAGGACATAATACATATGTTGTTGGAAAAGGAAGTTGTAATTCAAGAAAAAAGCAACTTTGAGATATGATTTCCTTAATAATTTTATAAATATAAAGACATAAGTATAAGATTACATAACATAAACCAATTGCATAATGCTTCATTGCGAACAACATGTAATTTAAAACCAAGTCTGGTTTTTCAGTTTTCTATATTAAATGAAGCT